CTGAGCTGACAAACAGCTGATCAGCTGTTTGTTGGCTCAGCGCGGCAGCCATGTAAATTTAAATGAAGCCGCGATTATTTAAATCGCGGCTTCATTTCCCTTTGCCGATCAGCCTAAACTACATGGCTCCATCGATGGAACCATGTAGTTTAGACACACCCTATAGTTGTTAAGCAAAAAAAAAAAAAGAAAAAAGAGCGCTGTGCCTTTAAATGGACCTGTGCTCCTTACTCCCCTGCCCCCGCCAGATGCTGCAGCTTCCATCAGAGGGACACAGGAAGTACCGGACATTTCACATGTCTGGTATTTTTTGTTTTTTTACCAGATGGGGGACTCAAATAACGGACAGTCCGGGAGAAAACCAGACACCTGGCACCCCTATGTGTCTATAATCCCCTCGATGCATTTGCATTCTTTTAACTTATCTTTTAAAAAAGTTCTGCTGGGTGGAGGATTAATCAAACAGCCTGAAACCGAGGTGTAATGAAACAACTTGGACTGCAGCAGCTGAATTGCCTGGGACCATCTCTCCCCAGGAGTCCCTCCGAGGGCTGGGAGCGGGCAGGGCTCCTAACGCCAGTCTGGCTCCTCCCTTGGTTATAATAGCCATCGCCTAAATTATGCACCGACCTGGGACTGGCTATTCCCGGGCATCGAATGACAGCTACAACGGTACCGTCGCTACATAAAAACGTACACCACAAAGCTACAGCATCCGACTGCCTCTCCCTTCGGAAGCAGGCCACCAACACACAGAACAACGTATCCCCCTGGCATATGAATGTCATGGGAAAAAACAAAACCAAAACGAAACAAACGAATACTTGGGCGATGCCCAAAAGCACAGCTCGAGAGGAAACGCCAGACGTGCTCGGCTCACCGGCTGAATTCAGAGACTGCAAGGAGGAGTGTAAGCTCAGGGGGTGAGACGAGGATCTTAGCTCAAAGTAGGATCTCCCCGGAAAGCTGGGCTGCAGGTTAAGTGTGGAGGAGAAAGGACTCATTCTACGGAGCTGCAGTCTTTCCAAAGGCACTGGGAAAGGGAGGGTCTGCTCTTCTGACTCGGTGTCTAAATACAAGATCAATGCAAATGCCACGTCAGAATTCTGCCGGCTGTCGTCACACCGTTACCTGAGCTGAGACCCCCGGTGCAGAACGCAGACGCCGTCGCATACAAGGGCTCGGTCTTGACACACAAGAAATTCTGGATCACAGTGAAACCGCTCAATAAAGAATCATTAAAAAAAGGAATCGAGAATAAGACAGAGAATAGCTTATTGCCTTTATATAACTCCGTGGTGCGTCCACATCTTGAATACTGCCTACAGATGTGGTCACCTCATCTCAAAAAAGATATACTGGCATTAGAAAAGGGCAACAAAAATGATGAGGGGTTTGGAACGGGTGAGATATGAAGAGAGATTTAAAAGACTGGGACTTTTCAGTTTAAAAAAGAGGAGACTAAGGGGGGGGGTGGATGGATGATGGAGACCTATAAAATCATGACGGGTATGGAGAAAGCGAATAAGGAAAAGTTATTTTACTTGTTCCCATAACATAAGAACTAGGGGTCACCAAATGAAATTAATAGGTAGCAGGTTTAAAACAAACAAAAGGAAGTTTTTCTTCACACAGTGCATAGTCAATCTGTGGAACTCCTTGCCACAGGATGATGTGAAGACCAGGACTTTAACAGGGTTAAAACCCCCCCCCCAAACAAACAAAAAACCACCCAGATAAATTCACGGAGGTTAGGTCCATCAATGGCTATTAGTCAGGGTGGGTAGGAATGGTGTCCCTAGCCTCTGTTTGCCAGGGGCTGGAAACGGGAGGCAGGAGATGGATCGCTTGATGGTTACCTGTTTCTGTTCATTCCCTCTGGTGCACCTGGCATTGGCCACAGTCAGAAGACAGGATGCTGGGCTAGATGGACCTTTGGTCTGACCACAGTGACCGTTCTTATGTAATAATACGATATCATTGATGCTGTAAACATGTTTGGATCTTCACAAACATCTCTTTGTAGCTGAAGGCAAATCTGATCAGCTTTTCTTGGGCAAAATCCTATTTTTAGATTATCACCTGTAATACCATTAACTCACAAACATCCCACTCTCCCTACCTTTAATATCAGCAATTCACAGACACTTACCTTCCTTCCTCCCCCTTCCCACCCCCCCGCATTCCCCTTCTGTTCTGCAATGTGATTTGTCCTTTTCATATTTGTTCATTTTTTTTAATTGTATCCTTTGGTATATATGGTTGTGACTACTTTCTTCCACTATTTGATCTGAGGAAGTGGGTCTGGCCCACGAAAGCTCATCATCTAATAAACCATCTTGTTAGTCTTTAAAGTGCTACATTGTCCTGCATTTTGCTTCAAATTCTGGAAGGCATCACAATACCGTATCCCACCAAGGGCGATGCCCATCGTATTGTACCCAAGTTCCTGGAGATGAATTTTAAATGTAACCCTGTACGGGTATGTCTACACTACCCCGCTAGTTCGAACTAGCGGGGTAATGTAGGCATACCGCACTTGCTAATGAAGCCCGGGATTTGAATTTCCCGGGCTTCATTAGC